TTATAATCAGGATCACAAGACATTCGAGAAAATCAATTTTCATTAAAAGGAGGAACCCAATATGACATCAAAAGAAACAGAAATGATAAAAGAAAATGAAAATAATTTTTCTGATGTTCTAATATGTGTCTCTAGAGACATTTGAGGGGATGTTGACTAGACATCAAAATAAATCAGTCCTTGTAGATGGAGGTTTGTACCTCTTTAAAAACAGTAATTAATTAAGAATAATTGCTGCTATGAAATAAGAGTAATCAGAGTGCAAGAAAAAAACTCCAGTTTAAAAAGCAATGTATACATTGGATAATTACAATGGATAAGGTCAAAGATTACATAGAATAAGAAAATTTCCCATTACAAAGAGTAAAAAGGAAAAGAGATAGAAAATAAGAGATTATGGAAGATAGGGCCAGGAAGTCAATGTAGATCTGAGTCCTAGAAACAAAAATAGAGACAAGAGAGAAAAGAAAATAATCAAAGAAATAATGGGAGTGAGGGGGAGAGAGGAAGTCCCAGAGGTAAACAAAGAGATAACTCTTTATAATGAAAAGATTTACTAAGTTAAAAGCAAAGTGAATGCAAACAGTGCCCATCTGAACAAATTTTGATGAACTTCCAGAATTCCAAGGGCAAAGACAAAATCCTAAAAATTATCATGGAGAAGAGGGGTCACCTACAAAGAGCAAGATCAGAATGACACCATACTTCTCAACAGCAATCCCCCCAAAATTCTAGGGCAAATGCTTGAAATTAGAAATCCGTACCCCGCCAAACTACCAGTCAAATGTGAAATCAAAATAAAGACATTCTCAGACACATGAAGGATTTTAATGTTACCCCCTTAGATGCCATATGAAAAAAAGTTTTGATGAGGAGCTCTAGTGAAATGAAAATGTAACATAAGAAGAAAAATGAGTTAAGATAAACACATGAAGAAAAATTACAGCTAAGCATGACCCACAAAGAAAGAGAGCTCCTAAGAAATCAAGAGCCAAACCGCAGGGCCCTGTGACTTAGGATCTCTTTTGAGGTTTCCTTCTCTTGGACCCAGTCACCTCCCCAGGCTGAGTTCTAGCATTCTTTGGTTAATATTTAGATTTAACCTGTGGATAGCGCACTACTAAATACAATTAGAGTGACAGAACAGGATGTAAATATTGTAAAATTTGACAACAAAAATGAATACAATGAGAATTAGGAGCAGAAGAGAGTTGTAGAAATAAATGTGCAGGGACTGTATGGTGGAAATTCCACAGATAATGACTAAATATAAGTCAACAAGTAGAAAAGAAACAATCCCCAAAGGCACAAAGCTAACCACTAGCATCATTGTATCTCAAGAGGTAGAGAAGGGAAGGGAACGGACAACAATGAAAATGACTGATTTCCACAACAGGATGTCAAAGTATACCCTCAAATGTGTTGCTATGTCAAAAACATAAATTTCTTTTATTTAAAAAGTCAGCTGTAGCCACCAAAATACTAAAAGCAGAAACCTTAATTTCAGAGGAATGAAGTGGAGGTATGGGGGGTATGACAAGACAGTATCTACTTTTCCCCTGAGATCCCTTCATAGTTAGAATGATTTTTTTTTCTATTTGCCATAGACAGATTTTTACTCATTTTAAAATTAATCCTTAAAATTTTTAAGAAAAAGTAAGTTATATTATCCCAGTTTATCAAACAACAAGTGGTGTCCCCACGCTGAGCTGGGTCGCTTTGAGTGTTAGGAATTTGATATGGCAGCTCAGGCTGAGAACTAGGGCTTGGGATTCAGGATCCGAAGTTCAAAAATTCTAGACATGAGATACACAACAGGTCGAGGCTAAAAAGGCAGGTAAGCTTGTTAATTAACACAGAAAAATCATTAATTCACTCATGCATTTATTCACTCCCTCATGCTCCATTTATTCCCTCTGACTCGTTCCCCTCCTCTAAATCATTCATTCCCTCATTTATTCATTCATTCAGCACATACTCAGAAAATATAAGGCAGGCTATCTGCCTTCAAGGAGTTTAAAAATACAGTTGGAGGTCAAGCGATAACACAATACCTTACCTCCTAAAAACCCAGATCGTGCTGAGGCGAGAGATCACATGGGTAAAGGTTCACGAATGGGGTAACAGATGTACTGGGTCTTGAAGAATGAAAAATCTCCAGCTTTCCAGAGGAAGGAATTTGTGCTCACTTCATTGTAAACACTTTCATACTTCTGTTCTAAGTTTCATGCCACCCCTTGAGATACTGAGGGGAGGGACAGTGGGTAAGCCTCCAAACCAGAGTTGAATCCACTGACCCAGAAGAGGGCAGGCAATTAGCCCACAGAAGAAAACAAGGCTTCCTTCAATCATGGAGAAAGTTCCAGCACCCACTGGGGTACTTGTTTAAGCTGGGTTGGGTTCTCCTGGGAAGGGGGTGGGGAGGAATGAATTGCTCTAAGTAGAATGATCAACCATCCCAGTTTTCCCAGTTTTAGCACTGAAAGTCCCCAAGCAACTCTCCACTCTTAAGCAAACTAGGACAGCTGACTGTTGAGTCAGCACTGTTTCCAACACGTTCCCAGGCTTACTTCATCTGATTCATACAGTAAGTTTGACTGAGATGAAAGATGTTGGTATCCCCATTTTGCAGATGGCAAAACTGAGGCACCAAAAGGTCCAATGACAGCTAAAGATTACATACCTAAAGAAAGTGGCAGAGCCAGGGTTCAATCCCAGATCTGTTTGTTTTGATCCAGTGCCACCTCCAACCACCCCACTCCACGCATGCTGTGTTTCTCTGTACAGAGGCAGTGGAGCAGGCATACTGGGAACTTGGCTTCTCTGTGCACAGAGCAACAGAAAAGAAAAGAGGAAACCTTGAGCTTGTTGGTGCCCTGCTCCAACCCAATGAGCCAGGCAGCCCAGTTAGGAGGAGAAAGATGAAGCAACGTCTCCATGGGGGATTCAAGATCTCATCGAACTGTCTGCAGGTTATAATGAAGTTTCCATTTAATTACACAAGAGATTCTAGATATAAATACAGATGCAGATAAAGATACAAAGTCACTGTAGATTTTTAACAAAAACCCTGCAATTCCTTATCAAAGATATTAAAGATTATTTATATATCCAATACAAAGCAGAAACTTCTGAGGCCCCTTCCAATCCTGGAAGATGATAATTTTCAATCTCAGAAAAAATGGACTGGGGGTGGAGGGTATAGTTCAGTGGTACAACAAATGCTTAGCATGCTTGAAGTCCTGGGTTCAATCCCCAGTACCTCCATTAAAAGAAAGAAAGAAAGAAAGAGAATTTAAAAAAAAAATGGACTAATATTTCTAGCAAAAAAATCTTTGCATATATGTGCCCTGCTAGGGGTTTGGGTTTGGTTTTGGGTTTGGATTCTTTCATGCATAGATTCTATAAAAGAGAGAGAGAAGGGAGCTGGGAGAAAATGAATCCAGAGGGAAATATGGGAACGACAGACAAATAAAAGAGAGAAAAGAAAGAGAGGAAGAAGAACTGGGCTTACGTGGTGAGAAACGAGAACAGATAAATGAGGAACGACAGGACGGAAAGTCCTGGAGAGCTCAATTAATTAGTTATTGTCCATTTCCTTGAGAGACCTCTAACAGATCTGTCCTTGTCAGTGACAGGAAATCTTTTTGAATTCTTTGTAAAAGGATATTAATGGCGGTGGTAAGCTTCAGCAGCCCTACACGGTGACACCTGGGGGTGGGAGGGGTTTCTGTAGGTCATACCAGGAGCCGACCTTGATGCACCAGCAACCCCTGTGCGCTGCACACATAGAGCACTTCCCCAGCCCACAGACTGTCAACCCTCCATCCTTGGCTGGTACATCAGGAGGCTGACATTTAATACCCTAAGGATATAGATGTTTGAAAGCTGGTTATTGTAACAAAGAAGCCATCCAAACTCTGCAAGACCAAATGGATCAGATAAAGCTGACACAGAGATAAATCTGTTTTACATCCATTCTTGCACAAGTTTTGCTAATCTATGTAGTTATAGCTTTCCCACTGAAGAGGAGAAAAAAAAAAAAACCGCCCCATGTCGTCAAGTCCACATTGCGTTCCTATTTTTAATCTCCGAGGTATAACATTCTAGGCAAAGACCATTTTCATGCTGACTTTTGCATGAACTCCATTAACGGAGGATGACACAGGATGAAAATGAGAAAGGAGGATAAGAGAGAGGAGGGAGGGGGAGAAAAAGAGAGAAGGAGAGAGGATTTCTTCCTGAATGGCTATATAAATGCAGATTTTTTTTAAATGAATGAATTCTGCTCCATCATTGACACAGGATTCCTTCTCTCCCAGTCAGTCAGACACCTACTCTTCATTAGCCAGTATTTACGCCGCCAGATTGGACTTTCATATGGGAGCCTGAAACACGAATGGTACAGATGGCAGGAAAGCTCTCATGAGATTGATAACGATGAAGAAAGATGCCACATTAAGTCAGAAGGTGCCACTGTTAACATCTCAGCTCAGAGGAGAATATTTCTAGCTAGCACTCCCCTCCAAGGGCTGCTTTTCTTCCAGGAAAATTCATTCCCCTCCCCAAAAGCTCTCTGCCCCACCCTACTGCTGGCAAGTGTGATACCCTCGCTTTAGTCCCTTTTGTGTGTCAACAGATTTCGCCTCAGATACTTAACCTTTACTTTCCAAAGGTGGTTGAGATCCTCTCAGGGAAAGGGGACTGCTGTGGGGGGGAGGCATTTTAGTCCATGTTTCCTTCAACAAAGACACCACTGTAAGATGTTCTGTGCAGGAAACCTGAATGGTGTTTATTGTTTCCATCCCAGCCCTCATTGCATCTGCTGCCTTTTAGAGATGGACACTGTGTTCATAAAACCAGGGCCCTGGCTCAAAAACTTTGGGGAAAGGGCAATCTCCAGGGTGTAGGATTGAGGGTTTAATGGGAAAGTCAACACCAACTGAAAGATCACAGTGCGAGGCATTTGCTGCTGGAATGGAAGCGTGCCTTCTACCTACCCATTCTCGAAGGAGGGACCACGATTCGTCTGGACCTTCAGCTGCCGGCTATGCCAGTTGGTTCCTTATTCAGTGAAAACACACGTCCTCATCCAAGAAGTTCGAGCTTTCCCACTGCAAAAGATTAAAAAAAAAAAGTCCACATTTCAGGGGAAAAAAGGGAGGTGGGGGCAAGGTGGTGTCCCAGTGTTTCATCTCTAAGGTCCTGGTCACTAATTCGATCTTGCTAGAAATTTATCTTTGGCATCAAAGCCGGGCATGAGTTCTCTGGTCCCTCTGGACATCCCAGGATCCTTGGATGGCAACCTGACACCCAGCCAGGAAATGAGAATGGGGGCAAGTTCTCCAGCCCACAGTGCAATCAGATAGGGAAGTATTTCCCTTGTTCGGAGTTACCCAGAAGCCAAACCAACAGAAAGAACATGACATCATGGGGCTTGCAGACAGCAAGTTTGGAAATTTTGGCAGCTTTTACTTAGTCTGAGTGATATATTATCAGAGTCCGTTCTAGAAAATGCAGGCTGGGAGACAAAGGGAGGTCACTTCCAGTGTCTCAGTGCAGCAATCACAGATTCATGTTGGTGTGTAAGCATTTAATTAGCTTCCGGGGTTTACAGGAACTCCAGGCAATTTCAGTCACTCTAGGCAGCTCCTTCCAGATGCCACCAACCATCTCATAAGCTTGGACCTTGAATGCCTACCGCCCGGGAAGGGTATTTGAAGAGACTTAATTGAAGGGAATTCCTATTTTTATGTCGATATGATGTAGCATCAGCATTTCCTCCCCCACAAGAATACACAGAGGGACAACTAGTCCAAATAACTGGTTTAAATCTGTAAATTACAGCACTGCTTCAAGGAACTTTTAAGGTCGTTTTGTGTCTACGGAAAAGTTAGATGGCATCATAAAATTTTTAGAGCTAATGGAATCTTTCTACAGTGGAATCAACTCAACTGATGAGATGTGTCTGAGGCACCACCCTTCTCCCCTTTCTTTTGTCTGTCCTGGAGTCCGAAGACAGAATTACTGGTCTAGAAGCATTCATACCAGGATGACACAAAACATCTTCCTCCTTGCAGGTCTCAGAATTGAGGTCTTCATTTCTTTCCCCTCCACCAAGAGAAAAAGGGGTTGCTAACTATGGTTAATTCCCTGAGTTGGCTGCATTTTTGCTGTGGAGTCAAATCCTCTTTTAACATCTCCTGTGTGTCTTTCTTCTTGGAGCTTCGGTCTTTAGTGACCTTCTCAGGCCGTTTCATTAAATGCCCTCCGCCTCCCTAAATTACAGTACTTTGAAGCCTTGGAGTTTAGCATATAAAAAAGCAAGCGCCTCTGTATACTGCCCTGGGATAAGGTGTGATGAAAATCCCATACAAGCTGAACTGTACTTCCTAATCAAATGGGTGTAACAGATGGCTGCTGGAGCAAACCATCACAATGGAAATATCTGCAGTTCTCATGGTAACGGAATCTGCCAGGTCTGAGGGATTTGCTGTTTTTCAGGACATCTGAGCTGCAATCTCTTTCGAGCTGTCTAGCAGTCTCCGGCTTGCTCTCTCTCACTCTCTCAGCATGATGGAGATAGAGTTGAAAGGTGGAGCCCGATTTTGCATTCCAGCTGTGATTAAAGACACAGGCACACATCCTGGGAGATAATGTGCTGCATATTCATTACGCTATCTAGAACCTCTTTAGCTACTGGGACACGACTGCCAGACAATTACAATGTGCCTTCTTCAGGAGCAAAGGGGAAGTGGGGGGGGAGAGTTGGGAGGAAGAAGATCCGAGAACAACAGAGAGGGAGAATCTGAGGAATTTAGATGCATGTGATGTACCTTGTAATAAAGATATGGAGCAATATTAAAACTAGCCGTTGCTTCCACTTTGTGGCAACATGTCAAGATGACTTAATGTTGCAGGATAAAACATCTGGCCTGGGGGAAAAAAATACATGGTGTCGCATTTCCAAATCCTAACATAGACTACGTAGAAGAAAAACAACAGAGAAGCAACTGAGTACCTTCCTGATAAGCGAACACATGTGAAGGGTTTCCTTACACTCTGCCGTCCGAGAGGAGAGCCGTCTCATCAGGTGGGGGTTAGTATATAGACACTGAGCTTTCATTATAAATCGAAGGTTTGGGTTTAAACCCACAGGACTACATTAGAAATGGGTTTTTTTTAATTATTTTTTTTCCTTCATGCTATTCATAACCTCCTGATTTTACAGCAGTGCTCGGAAAGGGGAAAATCATCAGTCACAATTCTGTTTTATTAAAGTCTTTTCCTCCAAATCCCTATCGATTTAAAGAAATAAGGAAAAGGGTACTGTCTTCTTTGCTATAGTACCTGCTAGCTCACACACTCTCTCTCTCTCTCTCTCTCACACACACACACATATACACACACACACACACACACACACACTCTCACGTACACACAGGGTTGATTCACAGCTGCCTGATCCCTTGGGTATTTGAGCCTGAAGATCAGACAACATATAAGAATTCAGCCATGACTCAAAATGGAAACAAAGAAGACCATTCTTCGCAAAGCCTGCAATGTGAAATGAAAAACCACGGGCTGGAGCCTGGAGGCTCCCGAGCACGCTCCCCCACCCATTGTCCTTGAGGGCACTACTGTTAAATACATATGACAGCCAAAGAGATGAGGAGAATGGTCTCCAGAAAGCAATGATTGGATCTCCCTTTTCATGAGGTAGAATAGGCAGGGCTGGGTAAGCCTCTAAGCAGCACTTGAGAGCAGGTCCTGGAAGACAGCATTGTCTCCCTCTCACACGGCGCCTGGAGAACGTATTATATGCTATAACCTTTCTCCCCGCCAGCCCTGCTCCGATGGAGACCCTCTTCCTTTAGAAGCCTGCTAATAACAACTTGTGGGTGACAATCTCCGTCTTAACAAGCCGGATTAGTTAGTTTAAAGCAATGAACTCAGGCCATTTGTGCAGATGCTAATCAAAAAAGCAAAAGGGAAAAAAAAAATCATAAAAGACCCATGTGCCTCCACCTCTTGTAAGTACACTAGAGATAAAGAGGAGGGTGTCCCGGGGCCACAGCTGTGAGCTGACCTCTCAGGCACACAAAGGTCTCGGGGGCCGTGGGGTCAGGAAAGGAGGAAAGAGGGTTTGTGTCAGGCCAGCAGCAGACCACAGTGGCTCTGAAGGGGCAGTGATCAGGGAGCTGTCTGAAGCTTTTTTCCTTGGAAATTGTTCTTTTGTTGTCTTCCTTGAGGTCTTTGCATTTTCAGACACCTCCCAGCTCCCTGGCACTGAGTAGGTGTGCACAATAAATATTTGCTGGCTGGAGAAATGAGGGATGGAGGAAGGGAAAATGTCAAAATGTCAAAAACAAACAAATCCCACCCATATATAATTGTCTTCTCTTTTCTCTCCACACCAAGAGCATAAAATTGTATTAAACATCATAGTCAGCACATTTGGAAAGGCACTCCATGTCTTCAGAGATCAGTGGTCAGATTGACTATTAACATTCCACCACAGCTGGCACTTTTAAAAGACACACACACACACACACACACACACGAAAAGGAAAGCTACTCAGCTGATGAATCCAACTTAGGAGATCACAGAAAATTGAAGCCCATTAAAAAAAATAATCTGTCATTTCATTGGCTTCTCGACAGGTTGCTTTTTTTCTATACCACAGCTAGGAAACTGACTCATGAAGGGTGGAATGTTTAGTTTCCTTTAAAATAGTCTGGGAATAACATAATATACACTCTATTACATATGGCATCTGAGTATGTAATCAGTATGAGAGGAAAAAAAAAAACTGTGAGGGAGGACCCTAGCTTTCACATTCCAGAGAGTGAAACACACAAAGCTTCCACTGGCTTCTTGAATTTTAACTGCCCTTCAGGGTACACTGATGCTGTTTTAGGAATTCTCTAAACCCAGTGTTTGCTGGAATGCCAACCTTCTAAGAAGCTCAGGACATCCTACTGAGATTCAGATAGAAGACATTCAACTGCCCTACCAGTTAGAACAGGGTATGTTTGAGAAGTGGAATTATGGAATTATTCTTTAAGAGCAGAAACATAAAAGTTGCCTCTCTGGGCAACCTCATCTCTAACACTCATCACAAAGAATATTTTTGTACAAGAAGGTTATAGTCAACCTCAAAAAGATCCTGATATAACTCCAAAATGTTCTTCTACAATTTATAGATATTTCAAATCCAAAAAATTCAGCCCAGATCACCTCTCAGCCACAGAGTTTTGTTTTTGTTTTTTTTTTAAGTTTACTGCCAAGGATTATCTCATTTTCTCATGTCTCTGTCACCAAGGGTGGAGGAAGGGGATATTGTGGTATTGCAACTCCCCATAAGTTTCAGGATCAGGTATGTTTCAGGCCTCATCTTACTTCCCTGGAGTGTTCAAAGCCCTGGCGTGACAGACCTGTTCCTTCCGAAGACTGTCTTTATGGCCAGCCATCTCTGGAGTAGATCCTCAAGAACGGAACTGAAATATTTTGTTGCAATTGAGTTCATCCAGGCCCAAGTAGGAAACCTGCTGCACACCGCACGCTGCGAAGCCCTGGGGGGACTACAGAAATTATTTGCCACCTTCTTGTCCTTAAGGAGTTCACAATTGAGACAGTTAAAAGATTGCTAACGGAGACGACATACAGCTGGCCCACATATGCCACAAAAGAAGCATAATACTTATATCCAGAGGGAACTCTAATTCAAAAAGATACATGCACCCCAATGTTCATAGCAGCGCTATTTACAACAGCTAAAATATGGAAGCAACCTAAATGTCCATCAGCATGACTAGATAAAGAAGTTGTGTTATATATACACAATGGAATACTACCTTGCCATAAAAAATTAAATAAAATGTCACTTGCAGCAACATGGATGGACCTGGAGACTGTCATTCTATGTGAAGTAAGCCAGAAAGAGAAAGAAAAATACCATATGATATCACTCATATGTAGAATCTTAAAAAAAAAAAAAAGACACAAATGAACTTATTTACAAAACAGAAACAGACTCACAGACATAGAAAACAAACTTATGGTTACTGGGGGGAAAGGAGGTGGGAAGGGATAAATTGGGAGTTCAAGATT